GTGTGTGAGAGAGAAACTGTGTGAAAACTAGAACTGGTCTGAATTTGGGGTTTTAGAACAATGAAAATATTTGCTTGGTTGCTTGCTTGCTTGCTTGCTTCCTTTCTTTCCTTTCTTTCTTGTAAAGGGCCAGGTAGTAAATATTTTAGGCTTTGCAGGCTATAAATTCTCTTTTGCAACTACTAAACTCTGCCATTTTAGTGGAAAGCAGCTAAGGACAGTATGTACATGAATGCACCTGTCTTTGTTCCTCTAAAACCTTATTTACCCAACAGGCAGCAGACTGCATTGGGCCCTGTGGAGCTTTAGTTGGCTGACCCCTGGGCTAGATAATATAGACTTTGTAAGTCATGGTAGGGACTTCAGATTTTGTTCTAAGGGTGAGCATTTTTAGCAACAAATTACTCTTAATGTATGTTTATGATTTTTTAAACAAGGTTCTACCTAGATCTTCAACATACTAGAGACAGATTGAAATGACTTTCAAAGTCTGCATTTATATTATTTTATTATTTTGCTATATTCATGTGGCCGCATTTGTGGAACCTGTTTTATATGTCAGAATTGTGTTGGGAATTAATTTACTGATGAGATACCCTCCTGTTTTCACTAGACTCTCATTTCCTATATTGATCACATTTACCTTGGTAATCCATGAGGAGTACTTAGTCTTGTACCTGGCACATGGTAAATATTTGAAGTAATGAGTGTATTCCTCAAAGAGTTCATAGTCTGTTGGGAAAGGTAGACATCAGTATAGCTTATTAGAGACGTGAAGCATGGGCTACAGATGAGGAGTGAGATGCCAAATCCGTCCAAGAGAAAGGAAGAGAAAATAAATTCTAGTTTAGACATGGTGAGATTACGTTCTCATGGGATTACTGGGTGAAGATGTTTGGGAAGTAGTTAGACAATCATTCGTGTTCTGGGTCCTACGAGAGAGTTAGACTAGGCATCAACATTTAGAAGTTATGCAAATACTGCAGGTAGTTCATGCTATTTAAAATGAATTTGTTGTTGACAGAGATCTTGAAGATTAACACTTTTTTTTTGGTAGAAGTAAAAAATTTTCCACCACCTTTATAAATATAGACAGTGCTGCATTGTTGAAAATCTGTACAATTGTCGTTTTCCAGAGTAATACATAAAATAGGGGCTGTGGGATCAAAGGACATATGCTTTCAGCATCTGCATAGGTGCTGTCAAAACTGCCCTCTAAAAATAAAATGATACCAATTTACACTCCCACCAGAAAGACACAAGGTTATTGTTTTACACACCCCTCCTGGTACTGAATGTTTGCTGAACTGATAAGTGCATAATGCCATAGTATTGTTTCAGTGGATAGACCATGAATTCCACATGTTTGCTGGGCATTTGTTTTTCTGGGCCTGTGAATTACATATTGTTATTCTTTGCCCCTTTTCTATTGTGGTGTTTGACTTTTCTTACTCATTTCCAAAGTGCCTCACATTTTTGCTTGCCATCCCCATACTCCCTTTCTTTCTTCCATGCTTTATTTTTATACATTGCCTCCATCTGACATACTACTTGTTTATTTCTTTATCATCTCTCCCTCTTCACCCCATTAGAATGTATGAATAATACATAATAATAATAATAACCTTTTATTATATTTAATAGGTTATTATTTATTTAATAATAGCCTATTATTTATTATAATAATAAATAATAACCTTTTATCTGTTAATTTTTCACATATCTTCTCCGTGTCTGTCATCAGCCCATTACCTGTGTTTTAGTGAGTGGTCATACAGAAAATTTTAATCTTTATGAAGGCAAATCTGTCTGTGCTTTCACATATGGCTTTTGTGCTCTGCATTATTATGCTTAAGGCTTTTTTTTTTTTAACCTTTGAACCCATTCACCCATTCCTCTCACCCCCATCCCTCCTGCCTTGCAACAACCAATCTGTTCGCTTATCTGTGAACTTGTGTTTTTCTTTAATTTCCACATGTAAATGGGATCATATGGTATTTATCTTTCTCTGTCTGACTTTATGTTACTTAGTATAATACCCTCAAGGTCCATCCATGTTATCCTAAAAGGCAAGATTTCATTACTTTTTAATGGCTGAGTAATATTCCTTTGTGTGTATTTGTGCACACACACACACACACACCACATTTTCTTTTTTTTTTTTTTAATTTTTTTCAATGCTTTATTTCTGAGAGAGAGAGAGGGAGAGAGAGAGACAGCGTGAGCAGGAGAGGGTCAGAGAGAGGGAGGCACAGAATCTGAAACAGCCTCCAGGCTCTGAGCTCGCTGTTAGCACGGAGCCCGATGCAGGGCTCGAACCCACGAACCGTGAGATCATGACCTGAGCCAAAGTCGGATGCTTAACCAACTGAGCCACACAGGCGCCCTGACATTTTCTTTATCCATTCATGCATCAGTGGATGCTTAGGTTGCTTCCATATCTTGGCTGTTATAAATAATGCTGCAATGAACATGGAGGTGCATATATCTTTTTGAGTTAGTGTTGGAAGAGAAAGTAGAGGAAATATTCCAGAATATATAATAAAAAAGGGGGAAGATCTAACATCTGAATAACAAGATTTCTAGAGTAGAGTAAGGGAGAGAGTGGGAGAAGAAGAATGAAAAAGAGAATTTGTCAGTGAAATAGAATAGATGGTAATTCCCTGGAATTGAAGATATGAGCTGCTAAACTGAAAGGATGCACTGAATGCTCAACACTAGATTTTTTTTAATATTTATTGAGAGAGAGAGAGAGAGAGTCTGAGAGAGAGAGGAGAGAAAGAATCCCAAGCAGTCTCTGTGCTGACAGCGCACATGTGGCTCAATCTCATGAATGGTGAGATCATGACCTGAGCCGATTATCAAGAGTCAGACACTTAACCGACTGAGCCACCCATGCACCCTAACACAATATTCTTTTCTCTCCTCCCCTCCCCTCCCCTCCCCTCCTCTCCTCTCTTTTTTCTTTTCTTTTCTTTTCTTTTCTTTTCTTTTCTTTTCTTTTCTTTTCTTCTCTTTTCATGTTTATTCATTTTTGAGAGAGAAAGAGAGAGAGAGAGAGGCAGTGAGTAAGGGAGGGGCAGAGAGAGAGGGAGACACAAAATCCAAACCAGCCTCTAGGCTCTGAGCTGTAAGCACAGAGCCTGATGTGGGGCTCAAACACAGACTTGCAAGATCATGGACCTGAGCCAAAGTCAGACACATAACCAACTGAGCCACCCATGCACCCCATTATTCCAGTATACTTTAAAAGAGCACACACTCTAAGCCAGACACAGAAATTCACATACTTTATGATAGTATTAAATGAAGTATCCAGAATAGGAATTCATAGAGACAGAAAGCAATTCAGTGATGGCTGAGACAGGGAAGGGAGGATGGGAAGTAAACTTTTAGCGAGTATGAGGTTTCCTTTTGGGGCAGTGAAAATGTTTTGTAACTAGATGGAGGTAGTGGTTGCATAACTTTGTGAATGTACTATATGCCCCTGAATAATCATAAAATGATTACTTTATGTTATGTGAATTTCACCTCAAAAAAAAAGAGATCATGTTCTGAGTATATGAAATATAAGAACACCGGGGATAAAGAGAAGATTCTGAAAATTGGCAGAGAGAAACAAAGGACCTCATACTCTGTTAGTCATAACATAAAGTAAATTATAATATGGCAATAAATACACTTCTGTAATCTAAATGGCTTAATTCAACAAGTATTTTTTTTCCACTCATGCTACATGTATATGGTGAAGTAGAACACTGTTCTGTATTGTTACTCAGGAATCTAAGTTAAGTTGTTGCCTTTTTTTTTTTTTTTCTCCCCTTTGAGAGACAGGGAAGCATGAGCTGGGGAGAGGGAGAAAGGGAGAATGGGAGACTCTCAAGCAGGCCCTGTACTCAGCACAGAGCCCAACGTGGGGCTCAAGCCCACGACCAAGGGATCGTGACCTAAGCCCAGATCAAGAATTCAATGCTCAGTGGACTGGACTGAGCCATCAAGGCCCCCAAAAAGTTGTTCCTTCTTCAAAAAAAAAAAAAAATGTTGCTTCTAGGAAGTGAATTTCAAGAATGGAGTACAAGAGGAAAGAAGATGGGTAGGACAGCTTACATTATACATCTTGTAGGATCCAAATCTGTTACTTTGACTTAAAAAAAAATTTTTTTTTAAGGATGCAGGGGCAAACACTGCCATGTATGGCAAGAAGCCTGTGCAAAATTATTAAAAGGAGCTGTGGGCTTTGGAGGTTATAGTAACCTTGGAACAGTTTTAGCAGTTGAATGGTGGGTGTAGAGACCAAGCCACATTGGATTTGAAGAGTGAAAGAATAGAGAAATGACTTCACATACTGCAAATGTGTAAATTCAAGGAGAGCAGCTGACATACAGGATTCAATAATGGGGGGTGTAGAATAGATATCATTCTCAGTGAAACAGAGAATATGAAAATCTGAATTTAAATAAATTATGAAGAAGCTACGTTTCATACATTTACAGAGAATCACCTATAAAACAAAACAAAACAGTAAAATCTTTAAATAATTGGCTCGTCTTTGTTTTACTGAAGCATGTCCTATATGCATCTAAGCTGAATTGTATCAATGGGGACACTATTCACATAACATAATTCATACTACTTCTTTATTTAACTATTACTTTCTCAGAATTCCTTTATTTCAACTTTATATCCTTGATTTAAAGAGGATTTATTTGTTATGAGTCCTTTTTAAAAAGGCCTAGGCTTTTTAGCTAAGGTAAAAACTAATGAAAATAAAAGACAAATTGCCCCCCTGCCCCTAGATTTCCGTATTAATCTGACTGCACTATTATAATTATAGTTTGAGTTTTCTTAGTTCTCCTACCAGCTTCAGGTTTTTGTATAAGCCTAGTCATGGGAGTAATATTATCATCTTTAAATTTGGTCATGGAATGTGTTACCCTGCCCCGCTCAGGGAAAGGCTACTCAGTTTGGGCTTGGATAGTAACGTTTATTTTCTTTGGCAGAGAAGCTGATCGTCGAGGGGCATCTAACCAAAGTGGTAGAAGAAACAAAGCTTTCAAAAGGTTCGTTTTCTGTGAGTTCTCTGTGGGTTTTAACAATTCTTTTGGGTAATGGAGGTTGGTGTACATTTCCAAGGTCATAGTATTTTAACCATCAACTTATTTCTTATAGCTCACCAAATGACAATCCAGTAATGGTATCATAAAATATAAAATAGTTGGAGTTCTGTTGTAAGAAGGATATCTTAATGGGAAAGTTTCTTTTTAATTTTTAAATGGGCATATATGTGTGGGTTTTTTAAACATTTGAAATAGATTCTTTAGGTATTAAAAGATTTGTTCTGATCTGTCTCTCTTCTAGCATTATTTTCAGGTTTTGTGTTTGATATTTGTTACATTTGATATAAAATTTTAATTAAACACAATGTAAATCTTTTAATTAAACAAAATGTAAAACAGGTGAAAAATGCTTGCAGTTCTCTTTCTGTAATTATTATACCTTTAACATTCCTTATGAAATTTAATATTTTGTTAATTTCTGGCAACTCAATTTGATTTAAGCAAAAGTGGTTATGTAGCATCGCCTTGTATTTTATGATGAGAGTCTTATAAATTGAAATAGTTTATTCTATTAATTCTCTTCTGTTACAGTTGTCAGAGAAGAAAAGTGAGTTTTAAAGTATTGTCAAGTCACTTTCATGCATTAGGGAAATTGGTCAAATAAATTTGGTATGATATGCTCATTATCATTTTAGGATTTTCATCAGAAGGTACCAGTATAAAATTTATAACTAGAGTCACAATCTTTTTGGTCAGTTAAAACAATGAGTGATAAAAGTTTGAAATACTCTATTTCAGTACATTTTGTTTCATGAGAGCAACTGGATTCATTTCAGCTTTTAAAAATATTTAAAAAAAGAATGTTATTTCAAGTATCCGGTGGCTTCCATTCTGAATTTCGTGCACGGCAGATGCCATATTTGGGGAAAGAATGCATAGAATATGCATCACTAATATTGTTCTGGCAAACAGGCATTGGGTTTCAGAGCAATGGACTATTTTTAGTACATGTGGCAATTTATTTCATCTTATTAAAGTGAGATGAGAACAGACTTCAACATAGCTTTTACTTCACCACCGAAGCACCTAATCAAATGAGCTGAAGAGCCAGCACTCTGAAGTGGAAGGAGAGCCTTAGGGAGAAACAAAGCTCAGTGCTCTTAATTAAAGAAAAGTATCTTGCTATAGTGCTTCTATTTAATGCATTTTGAGTTAGAATATATTTGCTTGAAATTATGCGATGTAATTGTTGAAAAAGATTGTGCCACCTTACTAATTTGGTTTTGAAACCTGGCCATAAAATATGTGTTAAAGGCTTTAAAGAGCATGCATTTTGATCCAGCAATCCCACTCCTGAGTTATTATGTTAAGGAACAAATTGGACAAATATGCAAGGGTATTTATATCAATGTTTTAAAAGCGAAAAGAGGAAAACGTAAGTGTCCAATAATAAGGACATTTATTAATTATAGCAAGTAAGTCCACACAAGTGAATAAAATACATCCATTAAAATTAATAATACAGATACAAGTTTTACATACCCAGAGATTTTTTTTTTGTCAGCAGCCAACATGTTACAAGCATTTCTCTGTGCAGAGGAACACTAATTCTTGTAACAAACTAGATAAAATAAGTTACAAATTAAACGTTTCATATCTGGCTATAAAATATTTCTTTTGGATTTGGCTAAATTGTTTTATTTAAAAATTTTTTAATGTTTTTTTTTTTATTTATTTCTGAGAGAGAGAGAAAGACAGCGTGAGCAGAGGAGGGTCAGAGAGAGAGGGAGACAAAGAATCTGAAACAGTCTCCAGGCTCTGAGCTGGCTGTCAGCACAGAGCCCAACGTGGGACTCGAAACCACGAACCGTGAGATCATGACCCGAGCCGAAGTTGGATGCTTAACCGACTGAGCCACCCAGGTGCCCTCTAAATTGTTTTATTTTAAAATGCTCTCATCAGTGACATTTTTTATAGGATTTTTCTTCATTGAAAATATTGGTTGTCGGGCACCTGGATAGCTTGTCAGTTAAGCGGTTAAGCGTCTGACTTCAGCTCAGGTCTTGATCTCACGATTCATGGGTCAAGCCCTGCATCTGGCTCTGGGCTGACAGCTCAGTCTGGAGCCTGCTTCGGATTCGGTGTCTCCTCTCTCTGTGCTCCTCACCTGCTTGTGATCTGTCTCTTTCTGTCTGTCTCTCAAATAAAAACGTTAAAAAAAGGAAAATATCAATTGTTAGAAATTGCTAATTACCAGCAGTTACAAGTCTTAGTGTTTCCTTCAGATATTTCATCTAATACAAAATATAATCATAGGTTACATGTGCTTTCTATTTAAACCCTAACTCAATGTATAGTCATTGTATGTTTACTGTGGCCTGAGGGTGGAGGTAGAAAAATACTAGTAGATGAAACAGGTGGCTTCAACCCTAGGTTCTGCCACTAACTAGCTATATGCAACGTATTAAACTTCAGTTTCCTCATTTGTAGAATAGAATTGACAGTATTTAACTGTGGGAATTTAATGAAATATTGCTAACAAAGCTAGGGACATTGTTCTGGTATTCAACAAATGTTTAGTTCTCATTTCCCTTCTTGCTTTGTTTCCAACTAATGGTTCTGTTGGTGTAGGAAGTGGTCTGTGGCCAGTATATTTGTTTCACCCATCCATCATATGTCTTCTCAGAGATACAGTGAAAATAGTCACCTTGTAGGCTTTCCAGTTTGGAAACAGTTTTGATAATGATGTTGGTAGCTATTCTTCTATTTTCTTTTATATATTATTGGTGTGTATCTTAATGATTAAGTACTGCACAGAAAATCAACCAGTAAGGAGGTTTTTCTTTCTTTTTTAAAGTTTATTTATCTTGAGAGAGTGAGGGAGGGACAGAAAGACATAATATCATGACCTGAGCTGAAGCCAAGAGGCAACCAACTGAGACTCTCAGGTGCCCCAGGACTTTTTAATACTAGAAAGTTGGGTACTGCTTCATAGCTAAGGAATGTATTTTATTTTTTTAATATGTTTTAAGATATTTATTTGTTTATTTATTTATTTGAAGGAGAGAAAGAGCATGAGCAGGGGAAGAGCAGAGAGAAAGGGAGACACAGAATCCAAAGCAGGCTCCAGGCTTGAGCTGTCAGCCCAGAGCCCTACACGGGGCTTGAACTCACAGACTGTGAGATCATGACCTAAGCTGAAGTTGGACACTTAACCAACTTAGCCACCCAGGTGCCCCAAGAATGGATGTTTTAAAAAGAAGGAGATACTCTACTTCTCTTTTGTTGTGTCCTGTGTTTGATTCGTAAATAGATTTGGTTTGCTTCCATATAATAATGTAATATCAGGACATAACAGTGATGGACCATGATTTGACTTGCTCACAACTTTGTCTTCTTATTCAAAGTAGATTTGTGCCTTCAGACAGCCTCTTTTTGGAGTACCTACTATGCACCGTGTACCGTTTTCTGCACTGGGGAGATAGCACTTAACAAAACAGACCAAAATCTCTGCCCTCATGGAACTTAATATTCTACTAAGATCTTAATGGAAGATTTGGTCCCACCTTTAATTTTACCTTCCTGGCTAATACTTTAATATAAAATAAAGTTCCTTCTAAGCCAAAAGAATACTTTTGAAAATATGTTCTTTGTGGTTTTCCTCAATATCTTGATCACAAAGTTGCCAAGAATTTTAAAATCAGAAGAGAGTCACTTTTCTATTCTATGACAGTGGTTCCTGTTCTGTGTATAGATTAGATGTATTAGCCTGCCTTGTTTGAGATTGTAACTTGGTCATTAAAACAGGGAATATTCAGAAATGTCTGATTATAGCACACTGAATGCACCAGAGGTCATGGATTGGATTCCCATGGGCCTCTGTTGTAAGTGACTTCACTTCTAATCTAAGCTCTGTGTCTCTCAGCAATTGGCCTTGGACTAGAAATGGTGGTGAGAAAAGAAGCAAGAGGCTTCTTGCAATCTATTGCCTATTTCACAAATTAAGCTACAAATTCTAGGGATGTTCTTAATGGAATACACATAATAACTTATATTCTAATATTTATTAAATATATTTTAATATTAATAGTTTTAGATATGTTTCTGATTACTTTAAAAATGGAAAATATCTTGATTTAGTTGATTATAAAAAATTTTTGTTAAAAATTTATAAATTAAATTATAAATTTTTTATTTATTTGAAAAATAAATTTTTCAAACAATGTATGACAATATGAAGCTAGAAAGTAAATATCTGCCATGTCCCTACCTTCAGATATGATCATAGGTATCTCTGTTGTAGATCCTTCTAGACTTCAATAAATATGTACAACTGAAAATTCATAGCTAAATGTATAGCTATTTTCTGTCTAAATGCGGTCGTATTATGCATATTGTTCTCTAGCAACCTTTAGTTTTACTTAATAGGAATATATCTTGAATGTTTTCCATTCAATGATGAACACTGCTGCAGTAAACATCCTTATAATACTATATGGAGTCTTTTTTCCTAAGGAAAAATACTAGAAGTAGATATGCACATTTAGATATTTGGTATGTATTACCACAAACAGTATAGCCAATCATATAACATTATAAAAAATAATCATATGCCCAGGGAATTTATAATCTAACTAAAGAAATAAGATACATATATACACAGAGAATGATATAAAATAGAACATGATTAATTACAAAATTGTAGGACACAGAGAAGATGCAGTAAAAAAGAGCAGCATGATGGAGAAATGAAGACTTTCTTAGAGGTGTTGGGGCTTAAGCTGCATCTTAATGAATAGGCCAAGTAGAATGGTCATTGAGTTTAGCAAAATATCAACTCAAGCAGAGTTGGAGATCATAGTGAACTTGCATGTCTCAGCCCTGTAAAGAAGCTAGCCTGACTGAAACAGAGCTCATGTGTGGATTAATGCAGGGACCAAATTATAGCTAAGTCCTGGAATATAAAGCTTGGCCGAGGCCTTGTGGAGAATGGGGAAATGACCATCTCTATAAATTCTATTATAATGCATGCCATAGAACATGCAGAAGTGCCATTATAGGTAAGGATCTATAGTGTAATTAATTGCTGACCATCTTTAACAAAATTGTTGGGCTTATAGTTAGGATTTTTGAGAGCAACTTATTGGAATCGGGGCCTGGATGTCTTCATTGGATCAGGCAGCACACCACTTGCAAATAATCCCAAAGCTTAGTATAACTATTGCTAAGGCAACCTAACTAGTGTTTTTATATAAGAGAGCCATTTCCTTTCATCATCTTCAAACAATGTCCACATTGTCCTGGAATTTTGCTATATTTGTTGCAGTTCTCTAAATACTTTAGCAAAGCTTGCTTCATTTTTGTTTCTAGTTGGCCAGTGGACAGCCTTGACAAAAGCCGCAGCCCTCTGCACAGCAGACATGATCCACAATATAATTTAATATGAGCCACATGTAATAACCAGCATTCCATTTTGGAGTAGAGTGGTAAAGAAGTAAGAGATTTAGTGACCTCAGTTAATTTTAAAAGTATTTTGCACTATCAGTAGATTTAGAGCACTCAAAACCTAAGGTGGTTTTACTGATACAGTTGTAATGAGATTCTACTTTTATTTTTTTTCTTGGTAGAAAACCAGGCAAGAGCAAAGGAATCTGATTTGTCGGATACTCTGAGTCCAAGCAAGGAAAAGAGTAGTGACGACACTACAGGTGAGTTGTAACCTAGTATTTGCAAATCTACAGATGTTATTGTTACTGGCTGAGCAGTGTAGGTATGCAGGTTAATGTGAGTGTATATTTCAAAGTTTGTGTTTGGGGGAAAAAGCAGCCTCCTTCCATTTATGGAGATAATCCTTTGAATCTTGGATATGTTGTTAAAATTACTTTCACCTATCCAAATATAATACCTGTATAAATTTCACTTGTTTATTTTGATAATGATAGCTTAATGATAGAGCTGATTGCTGTTTGTAATTATCTTTTTCCCCTGCAGACGCCCAAATGGATGAGCAAGACCTAAATGAACCTCTTGCTAAAGTGTCCCTATTAAAAGGTACTTCAACATGTTTTTACAACACTTTAAATCAGGGCATCAGATTCACCACAAAATCGTATGTATTATGTGAAGTTTTAAGTTTAGTTAAAAGATTAAGATAGGGTCTTTAAGGTAGCAGGAACTAAAATTTAAAATGTTGGTGTTCATGCCAATGCTTCAAATAAAATATTTCTATTGTAAAATAATTTAGATCAATCAAGGTTATGAAGGGCAGAGTAGTAAGTGGTAGAATATGAAATGCAGCTGTAGGTTTTTTGTGTTTACCTTGATATCGCTCATAGAAGCTCATTACCACTTTTAACATAAATTAGAAAAAGACAATAATAATGTTCTTGAAATAATTACCTGTTTGCTCTATCGTCATATGGTAGCAGTTGTAAATTTCCTCATTTTCTGGTCTTCCTTATCCTCCAGTAAACATCCCTAGGTTCTTAGGGCCCTCTTCTAGAAATTTTAGGTAGGGCTAAGATAAGCAGTGCATGTAATAAACTTTCACTTGTAATCACTTCTAAATGAGAGCTACATTTGTTTCTTGATATTTACTTATTTAGACTGATAATAATAGTAAATAAGTCAATATTTATAGAAGTGTTTTTAAAATAAAGTGCCTTGGGTGGCCTACTGATAAATTTGTGATTGTCACCATTGAGTCTCTTTTATATTGCCTTTTGTACACAGGACAAGTTAATATAGAAGTTCAGCCCAGTGGGTTAAACATGCTGGTAGCAATGGAATAACACTGGGCAACTGTCTGGAATTAGCAAAAACAGCCTGTGGAAGTTTCTCTGTGTAGAGATAGATGCCTATGCTTCTGGCTGGGCTTTTAAGGAATCTCAGTCTAGAACCTGGGTTTTGGATTATATGAGGAAGACTTAGTTTCACCCTGCATGACCATGCTGTTGACCTACTTGTCAGTGATGGGAATTAGCAAGAGATTATTACCCAGATTCTCTTAGAGGTCCTTAATCTGGGCATCCTGGCCTTTCTTCTTCATCCTGGATACTGAAGCTTGCATGGCTGAGTTACCTCTGACTGAATTCCATTACTAAGGGAAGCTCTGAGGATCACTGGACCAATTACAGCACAGTTGTCAGCCTGCCTTTTAGTACAGTCATAGTTTCCAGTACTTTCCTAGCCCTCTTACTGGTCTGCACTCTTCCCAGGTGACCTTTGGTGTTGATGAGGCATGATTTTTACCCACCCTAGTGTTGTAGTAGTAAGTCTCAGTTAATGTTTGCCTAGTCTAAAAATCTCATCTTGGAGCATTTCTAATTCTTCTCAGAGATGTAGTACTGTTGCTGTATAAACTGTTACTGATGCTCAAAAACTGTCAGAACCCCTGGGTCTTTGTGGGAACATAGAGAAACAAGAGTAATGAGCACCTGTCATACAAAAGTAGCTATTTTATGGTCTTTTTTACTATAGAAATCTGCCAGAAATCTTTTCAGCAGCCGAGTGCAGATTGATTTATAAGTAACATTTATGCTTGTGTTAATTATATTCAGTGGTTACAAGTGCTCTTGTGATTTTATGTGTCTGTCTGTTTTAGATTTTATTTTTATCCCATTGCATACCGCAATGCCAGATGTTCAGTTATTTGTTGAATGAATTGATAATAGACCTCTTACATCAAAGTTATAAAACCATAAGAGCATTAGGAAAGTAACACACTCTACCCAAGAAGTTGAGTCAGAGAGCTGTGGGTTCAATCCTAGCTCTGCCATTTATTTGTAACCTGTCCTTAGGCAAATTGTTTAACCCCTCTGTGCCTCCGTTTTTTGTTTGTTTTTTTATTTTTTCATTTGTCAGTGAGACTTATTGTGAGAATTAAATGATATAATGCAGGTAGATCACTCACCATGGTGCTGGGAACATAACCTGTTAAGCATCATAATGGAGACACTGTTAAAAATGATGTTGGTGGGGCCCCTGGGTGGCTCAGTCGGTTGAGCGTCCGACTTTCGCTTAGGTCATGATCTCGCAATTCGTGGGTTCGAGCCCGCTTCGGGCTCTGTGCTGACTGCCAGCTCAGAGCCTGGAGCCTATTTCGGAGTCTGTGTCTCCCTCTCTCTCTGATCCTCCCCTGCTCATGCTGTCTCTCTCTCTCCTAGAAATAAATAAAAAATTTAAAAAAAAATCATGTTGGTGATTGATAAAAGCAGACCTATGTGTTAAAGAGTAACTTTTCATTAATTGAATAAGATTATGGGGTTTAAAAACTATACTTCTTACTATATCTTTTAGGGGAAAGCAGTTGGTAGAAAAGCCTAAATGGTTGTTTTTCCATTGTTTTTCTTTTGTAAGAATTGTATAATGTCTTGAAAATAATATATTCACTGGCACCTATTAGAAACACTTAGATTATGGTTGATTGTGTGTGGTGATGCTTTGTAATCTCTATAATTAGGTTCAGTAGACTGATAGAACTTTTCTCTTAAATGAAGAATATCAATTATTAGGCCACAGGATTAACATTGAGAGTTGTACAAAGTAGCCCCTTTATTCTCCTCATTGAAACCCTGTGCCTAACTTCTTGAACCACTGTTTTTAAATTTTATTCTTTCCCTTCTAAAAAAAAAAGGGGGGGGGCAATCTTGATTTAGAATTATATTGTGCTACCTTTCATGTTCATCACCTAGGATTAGGAAGAGAATCTGAAATAGATTGAATATTCACCATGAGATATAAATAAAATGATGATAGCAGTAGTGCCTTTTTCCTGAAATATTATTTTCAACCAATTTATGCCATTTCTGAAGGACAAATAAAGATGTGGCTTGAACCACAAGCTCCTGTGTATTTAATCATTTCCCCCAAGAAGGTAGAAGAAAACCAGAATTCAATGTAACTAGTATCTAAAGCAAGTTTGTTCTATTTAAGGAACTATGCCAGGGACTTCAGTGGTTTTGAGCTCTGATAAGACTGTCCTTGGGGTTAGAGGAATTTCTAGTCCGATTGGTGGTAGGCGAGGTATAGATAATAAGCTGCTTCCTGGTGGTTGTAGTCATTAGCAGTTCAAGAACAGAGAAAGACTGGGCAGGATTTTTGTTTCTTTTCGTTTATCTGGGAAGATGGGCAGGAAAGGCAATTTGAGCCTCATGAAAGATGTATCATTTGAGATGACCCTGAAAGTGTGTCATTCCATGTATGGCCTATTCAGTGACAAAAACTCAATCCTGAACCTCGTTGGGATTCTAGATCCAACTGCCAACTTGCAGGATGTGTAAAAAACTAGGGACATATCTAAATGATGTTGTGGGGATACAACAGTGAACTTCAGAATGTGGAGAATTTTCTAGGGTGCACAAAAAAGTAAATTGCAGGGTTTGTGGGAAAAGAGGAAAGGAGGATGGGGAAGCCTATAAGTTAAAAGAGATTTAAGAGATATGTCAACTAAATGCAGTGTATGAGCCTTGTTTAGAACTTCATACAGTCCAACTCAAAAAGAATTTGAGACAGTGGTAAAACTTTAATACTGACTCGATACTTGATATTAAGGAATTCCTCGTTATTTGCAGCGTGATAATAGCATCACAGTTATTTATTTTTTTGTTTTTCTTTTAGAGATCTTTTTTGTTTTTCTTATCTATCTAGATATAGATAGATTTTTTTAAGTGGGTTTGATTATAAGAAGTAAAGATCGAGATACCTTCTTAGACAAAGGGAATATTAAAAACTACAAGCCAGATAATATTGGTTGAGTTTGACAAGTACAATTAAAGTTTGTTCACATAATCATTTGAGTATTTTGTAGATTGCGGTGATTCTTTTTGACAGAATTCTATAGCTTCTGAGTGCACAAATGATCTGATTAGGCCTATATTTTGGGGCAGTTTGTTGGATGAACTGGAATAGGTAGAGGCCGGAGGTAAGGCAGCCAGTTGGGAGGCTTAGGTAATCACTGAGAGTTTGAACTAGGATGCCTGCTGTGGAAATTTAAACAAAAGAACAAAATCCAGTTTGGGTCCCTGTTGTTCTGGTCTTATCATCTTCTTTTCAGTAATCTTCTCTTGAATCGGTAGTCCTAAATAACTGAATATGAGAGATAAATGAAAGTTAGATATAATTCCAGCATTTGACCCCCGAGTTACTCAAAGGATGGTAGTGTTATTAACAAGAATATTATTTCTGGAAGAAGAGATGTCCTCTGGGGAAAGTGATGGTTTAAGTTTGGCACACTGTTGAACAGAAAGGGTGACCTGAATGTAGATTCTGGTTTGCATGGAACCATTTCTGCCCAGCACAATTATTAAAAGTGCTTCCTTTCACATTCAAAGGTATCCCAGTTTTTGTATTGTCAACCTAGGAACCAGAAATGGAGTTGAAAGTACAAGACACAAAGACTAGAAAGTCATTTACATTTATTTCTGAGATATTTATTGACCCAGGAGATAGAGAGATAAGACACATGAGGCTGCAGCCTGAAGAAAAGAGATATGTTGATAGTTTAGAAAATGTTTTAATGGGTGTGGTAGAAACTTTGGACAGCACAGCTAACTTCCTGGCTAGGGCAGGGTTCCGGTTGAGCAGTAGTCAGGATAGGCTTCCCAAATGAGGTGGTTAAAGATAAGTGAGAGTATGCCAGGAAGGAAAAGAGGGCCGTGCATTCCTTTAAAATACTACCTACATTTACAAGTAGAAACAATGTTTAAAGTCTGAATAACATCTGTCAGAGGGGGGGAAGTGTACAAGAACACAAGTGTGATGGAGCACAGGCCATGTGGCACAAATGTGATGAAAGACTTGGTCAGAAAGAAGGCAGTAACATGTTTGGGAATTCTCCGCATAAGAGAATTGGACCATGATAGCAGGGGAGTTTATGGAGAAAAAAAAGGATGATGGGGAGGACGGAGGAGCCAACAAAAGAACCAGTTTTCAAGAACCCGGCTGGTCAGAAGGAATGGCAAACGGGCGAGAACTGACAGGAAAAGGCTGCGGCCAAACTTGCATTCGTAATCAGGGTGCCACCCAGGACTGTCTCACATGGCTGCACATAC